ATTTTCATAAGTAACTGTAATTTAATTACACATTTTTTCTTAGTAACTGTAACTGATTACAGTTACATTTATTTTGTAATTAAATCACGTAACGCCGTTACATGTAACTAGTTACTCCCCAACACTGGACATGAGACATGAACGCAGCGTCATACTCTAGTGAACTTCAGCACTGCCTTCTGAGGGAACGTTATGAGTGAATCACACACACACACACACACACACACACACACACGCGCGCATGCAAAATAATTAAAAGTTATCTCCTGAACTGCACCTTCACTTCCATTTTTCTTTTCAGTCTCTTTATTTTGCCCTGATATCTATCTCTCACATGACTTTAATACTCAAGATCTAACAAAACTATACTTTATAAATTGCCTACATGTAGTAAATCACTACAATATCTTTATAGAAAAATCCTAATACTGAACATGAGTCATGTTTTTCCATTACAAAAAATAACCATGCTTTTATTATAGTAAAAGTAAAGTAACCATGGTTTTTTTTTTTTGGCAAATGGATTACCATTTATATTTATTTTTACCACAAATGCCATGGTTAAACTATGGTTAGTGTAGCAAAAACCCTGGTTAATTTGTGGTTACCATGGCTCCATCCCAGTGACACAGCAGCAGCATCATGCCGATCAGATTGACGATCCGCACCATCGCGCTGGCCAGGTCATAGGTCATGTGGAAGATCTGTGCAAAACACACTCATATCATCACTCTCCTATTTAAAAACATTCATTCATGTGCATTTTATCGGCTTGATTTCAGCATAAACCACAATCACAGTTATTCTGCTCAATACTGAGACCATGAATATTTAAGTCAATTACTCACTGATTTTGGAAACATCATGCTAGCGGTGGGAAATACATATGGAAGGCCGTTTCCGCCATGAAATAAAAATAAAAACAGCAATTGCGACATTTTATCTCACAATTCAGACTTTTTGTCTTGCAATTCTGAGTTTCTATCTCACAATTTACTCTTTTTTTATATAGATATAATAAACTAAGAATTCTGACTTTTTTTCTCACAAAGTTTACATCTCACAATTCTGTTTCCACCACAAAGAAAAAAAGGTAATTGTGACTTTGTATCTAACAATTATGACTTTGTTTCTTGCAATTGCAAGGTTATATTTCACAATTCAGACTTTTCTTCTCAGAATTGCAATTTTCTTGCTATTTTGCTTTTATATCTTGCAATTCTAATTTTGTTGTGAGGGAAAAAAAGCCAGATTGTGAGGAAGTTGCAAATTACCTTTTAAATTTTTTTCCCCATGGCGGAAACCTTGGCTTGAACTTTTGCAAACTCAATACCAATTTTGACAGCAAAATCTAATAGTAGCCTAAATAATGCAAGTAAGAAGAGTAATAAAGCCAGTAATAAAATAAGAACAAATTATGTCTGTGTGTGTGTTTCTGTGAGACAGAGGGTGTGTGTGTGTGTGTGTGTGTATGTGTGTGTACCTGTTTTTCTACACACACACACACACACACACACACACACATTCAGCCAGTGTTCATTTACTGCTTTCTGTAGGACAGTAAAAGATACTTCATATTCAGTAATATTATTGATTTAACTGCTGGATAAAAACCAAACTGAATTGATCTGAATAATGACTCTATTGTCTTCTGTAGAGCTGCTTTACAGCCGAAATTTGTTTCATAATTGATGAATTTTACAACATTCACACTGTTATCTTCCTGTTCATCACTGTGAAGCTACTTTTAAACAACCTGCATTGCATAAAGTGCTATAGAAATAAATGTGACTTGACTTGACCATGGATGACTTGCTGGTTAAAGGGATAGTTTAGCCAAAAATGAATTAGGTCCCCACTGACTTTCACTGTATGAACAAAACACTGAGACATTTCTCAAAATATCTTCTTTAGTGCTTCGCTGAAGAAAGACGGAAGGTCACTGAGGTTTTGAAGGACATGAGGGAGAGTAAAGTACACTGCTGGTTACACTGTGTAAGTCATTTTTTTCATATGTTTAACTATTTCTTTATTTGAAAAATACTCTAATAAAATTCCTGAATCAAGAAAATGCCTTCTGCTGAGAGAGAGACTGACCTCTGAGTCCAGGTGAGCTTCCAGGTCCACCATCAGGAAGATGTAATCCACCGGGATCGAGGACACGAAGTCCACGAGGAACCAGCTCTTCAGGTAGCGCTGGCGGATGGCCTTGGGGTCCAGCAGGATCTCCGTACTGTCCTCTTTCACGATCCCAGTGCGGAAGTTCAGCACCAGATCCACCAGGAAGAGCGTGTCCGACACCACATTAAAGATGATCCACGGAGGAGTGTTCTCGTCCTTGAAGAAGGTGATTCCCACCGGGAGGATGATGAGGTTTCCCACCATCAGCAGCAGCATGAGGAGATCCCAGCAAAACCTGCTCGGAGACAGAGAGCTTGAGCATCTCCATTCATGAATATGCACTACACTACATAGTAAGAGAAAAAAAGTAAAAAGAGGGGTGTGTCTGAATTCATAGTATTCATGAAAAAGTAGACGGAATCCAGTAATAAAAATGGAATTCCTCATAACAAGGAATGTCATGGAATTTGGCAACATTTGGATGAATGAATCAAAAGTAGGGCTGTACACGTATGCACTAGTGTCTGTGAATGTTAAAGCACTGCTGTGTAAATGTGAATCTGCATGTTGTGTGTGTGTCAGTTTGCTCTACTACACATACTGAAACATACGTGACACTCGTCTGCATCTCAATATATGAGCACATGAACTTCATCTGAGAGTCACTTCACCAGCATTTCACCATTTATTTTCTGAAAATTATCGGGAGATACACAGAAACTTAAAGATCTTCACTACAACCTGCCAAAATAAAAGTTTAGCTTGAAAAAAATTGTTACAAAATGTATCAGTAATGTACAGTAAATTGTACTTCTCAAAGTAATAATAATAATAATAATAGTTTATAAAAAAGTATTTTTAAAGAATAGAACACAATATTTCTTCCATGTTTAAACAGTAAACTTACGTTGTGCAGCACAAAAAAATGAAAGGAATTTCCACTATTCCATAAGGTAGTGAAGCAACACAACTGATGTAGTAACGTAACATGAAGCTGATCATGTCTTCTGTCTCTGTTCATGTTTCAGTCGCTCTGTGTCTGTCTGTAAGAGTCTGATTATCTCTGTCTGCGGTTTTGACATCAATATTATTGATCATCTCCCTATGAGAGATCCAGAGCTGCATGGAGTGATAATACAGTAATGCAGGAGTCTAGCTGAGCACGTCTTACACACACACACACACACACACACACACACCACATCATATCACATCACATCACAAATCATCTGTGAGTGTGAGTGACTATGTGAGTGTGCAAGTGTAAGTGTGAGTTTAAGTGTGTGTGTGTGTGCGAGCGTTTGAGTGTGTGTGAGTGTGCGAGTGTTTGTGTGTGTGTGTGTATGTATGTGTGACTGTGTGTGAGTGCATGTAAGTGCTTGTGAGTGTGAGTGCATGTGAGTGTGAGTGCGTGTGTGTGTGTGTGTGTGTGAGTAAGTGTGACTACGTGTGAATGCATGTGAGTGTGACTGTGCGAATGATTGTGAGTCTGAGTGTCTGTGTGTGTATAAGTGTGACTGCACGTGTGTGTGAGTGCACGTGAGTGTGACTGTGTGAGTGACTGTGTGAGTGAGTGTGTGTGTCAGTGTGTGTGACTGCGTGTGTGTGAGTGTGTGTGAGTGCGCGTGAGTGTGACTGCGTGTGAGTGAGTGTGTGTGTGAGTGTGTGTGAGTGCACGTGAGTGTGACTGTGTGAGTGTGGGTGTGTGTCAGTGTGTGTGTCAGTGTGTGTGACTGCGTGTGTGTGAGTGTGTGTGAGTGTGCGTGAGTGCACGTGAGTGTGCCTGCGTGTGAGTGAGTGTGTGTGTGAGTGTGTGTGAGTGTGACTGCGTGTGAGTGAGTGTTTGTGTCAGTGTGTGTGAGTTAGTGTGTGTGTCAGTGTGTGTGAGTGAGTGAGTGTGTGTGTGAGTGTGTGTGAGTGAGTGTGTGTGTCAGTGTGCGTGAGTGCGCGTGAGTGTGACTGCGTGTGAGTGAGTGTGTGCGTGAGTGCACGTGAGTGTGACTGCGTGTGAGTGAGTGTGTGCGTGAGTGCACGTGAGTGTGACTGCGTGTGAGTGAGTGTGTGTGTGAGTGTGTGTGAGTGTGACTGCGTGTGAGTGAGTGTTTGTGTCAGTGTGTGTGAGTTAGTGTGTGTGTCAGTGTGTGTGAGTGAGTGTGTGTGTGTGTGAGTGTGTGTGAGTGCGCGTGAGTGTGTGTGTGACTGCGTGTGAGTGAGTGTGTGTGTCAGTGTGTGTGTATGAGTGCACGTGAGTGTGACTGCGTGTGAGTGAGTGTGTATGTCAGTGTGTGTGAGTGCACGTGAGTGTGACTGTGTGTGAGTGTGTGTGAGTGAGTGTGTGTGTCAGTGTGTGTGAGTGTGACTGCGTGTGAGTGAGTGTTTGTGTCAGTGTGTGTGAGTTAGTGTGTGTGTCAGTGTGTGTGAGTGAGTGAGTGTGTGTGTGAGTGTGTGTGAGTGCACGTGAGTGTGACTGCATGTGAGTAAGTGTGTGTGTCAGTGTGTGTGAGTGCACGTGAGTGTGACTGCGCGTGAGTGACTGTGTGTGTG